GTAATGGGGGTCCACGTAGATGACACAGCAGTTGGAGGATCCGGTACATTGTTTGAACAATCCATCAAAGCTCTCCGGCAGCGATTCCCGTATCGCAAATGACGAACCAAAACGGTAGAATTTTGTTGGGCATGGTATCAACAAAGGAATGACCACTCCATTCATATGCACCAAATCACCAAAGGGTGGGAAAGAAAATCGGTCAGCCCCCGGCAGGAAATGTGGTCAGCCCAGTGGCCCAGGCGCTGCATGCTTTCGGCCCATGCGCAGACCGCTTCCGGCGTCTGCAGTGCGTAGTGGAGCCGCATGCTCACAGCAGCTGCTGTGCTCAATTGCCGAAACCCAGCGTGGTATTCCACACCTTGTGGCAGCTGGGTTGCGACCGCCCGGTAGAGGCAATTGCCATCTCCTGCTATCCAGCGTGGCTGCAGCAAGGCGTGGACTGCCGTGGCATGCGCTGCCAACACAGCCTCTGCTTCTGCAAAGTCGGCGCTCCTGCTGAGGTCCACATGGGTCGCTGGTCGCACTGGGCCGTGTCTGGGGCCATCCTCTGCTACCTGGTTCTGTGGCCATTGAAAGGGTTCCTCGGCTGGTCGCGCTTCATCTTCTGCTGGTTGGACTGCTTCTTCCGGGAGCGCTGCCTTCTCTGCTGCAGCTGGCGCGTCCGGCCCCGGCATCGGAAAGCCCCAGCGAACCCTCGGCCGCAACCGGTTGCGAGCTTCCGCCGCAACTGCTGGACTGAATGCCTTGTACAGCTGCTGGAGCCGCCTTCTACCTTGTTCTTTGTCGCAGACCTCTACCAAGTGTTCGGGGTCACACCAAGAGCACCTCAGGTTTCCTGGCTTGGGCTGTGCCGGGCGTCCACCTTTGCCAAAGATGCAAGCCACCACGGGCTCGGCCGCAAGGCCCTTGCAAGCACGCGGCATGGCTGAACAAGTGGACTAACTCTTGGCTTTGAACTGCCAAAATGAAAATTACAGTCGTGCAGGCGAAAGAAGAGCACGTGTGATACTATAGCATCCCGCGCCTCAAAATATTTCTATTGGTCCTATGTTAATTATCATTTTTGATTACTTGCATGCAGGCTGGCATAAGTCAACAATCGTTGACGCCGTCTTTGCTACGTTGTGGAGCCAAAACCAAATAACAAGAATCGAAACCAGCCATCTGCGTCGACATGCTGCTGGCACGGCAACGTTTCTGCGTCACAGCCGCGTCAAAAAGATGCCGTTTCAAACAAACATGTACACGCTGCTGGCACTGCAATGCGTCTGCTTCCAAAAAAGTCTTGCATCAAACGAATTTAAAAGAAACTTGTTTTTCCAGGTGCTCTGTTCACCGATCAAAATTTCAGGGCGGGCCTGTACTCTGCACGCCCCAGTGGGTCAATTCAGCCATGTCGCAGGGCGGGCCTGTACTCTGCACGCCCTATGGCAGCACGGTGTCCTCGCCCGTGCCTCAGCTGCTGGTCTCGACGGAGCCTAGGCCACGGAAGTCGTCAGCGGCTGCTGCGGTGGATCCACTGCTTGGCGCTGGCTCTTTGCGGCGGCCAAGGTGGCCGCACGCAGGCCAGGCGCCCCCAACGGCTTGCGCAGCACGGCCGCGCGGGCCACCTTCTCGGCCACGTGGGCGGCCCACCACGTTCCGTTGCCGGCCATGATTGCAAAGATTGCGCGGAGAGGGCTTTGGCGCTTGCAGAGCCAGTCGTGCAACTTGTCTGTGGCCTCGCCCACCGTGGCCGCGTCTGCGCCGGCCGCGGCCGTCGCGACGCGCTTCACGCTCGAAAGCGTCCGGCCGCGGCTTCCTTCCCGCTGCCCTTCCCAAAGTTCAACACTTCCAGGTGAGTCTTGAGCTCGTCCGCCTCGTCCTTAGCCAATTTCAAGACCTCTGGCTTCAGGACCTTCACCGTGCGCTCGTCTTCCAACATCTTGATCCCTTCCAGCAGGGTCTCTGCAGTACAGCTCAAACCGACACCGATGCGAAACTTCCGCCTTGCGGCTTCCCTTGGACACCATCTTCCAGACGTCCTCTTGCCTGAGTGTGCAAACAAGCCTCTCCCAACAAGCGTTCCCGAGCCCGAAGATTGAAGACTTCAGGATGGCCAATCAAGCCATTCGTCGTGCACGACAGCACAAGCATTTGGGTGTGACATTTACAGCAATCCCAATAGGTAAGTTAACAGTAGTATGCCACAGCGATGCTGCTTTTGCAAATCGAGGGAATCATACCCAGGCTGGCTATGTTCTTGGCTTTACAGACCAAAGCCTTCAGTCCGGACAGGAGGCACCATGGTCTCCGATTGCTTGGAGGAGCTTCCGCCTACCAAGGGCGGTGAGCAGCACTCTGGCAGCTGAGAGCCGGGCCATGTCGGTTGCAACTGGTACTGTTGAATGGGTACTGCTGCTTTTGGCGAAATCTGTGATGGCCCTCTCGACATTTGATCCTGTCGAAATGCGCTCAAAAGGCGCCCGCCTATCGTGGTCACAGATTGTAAAAGTTTGTCTGATCGTTTGCATTCACCTTCATCACCAACGTCCATTGACGACCGACGAACAAGCATTGATGTTGCGATTATTCTTGAGAGCTGTCGCCACATGCTTGCACATGTAAGATGGGTACCGACTAATCGGATGTTAGCCGATGGATTGACTAAAAACACTGGAGACCCGATTGACCTGTTAAGAGCTTGTATGGAAAGATCTACCTACCAAATATCCCCGAAACGTGAAGAGACCGTGTTGGAGATGCAAGCCGCGGAGAAAGATCTCCGACGTCGTATGCAGCAAGCTCGTTTGAAAAACCCGGAAAGCCCCGGGGATTCGACCACTTGAAGGGGGCATTCAAGTGCCAAGACGGTAGACGCACGAATGATACATTGTGTGCAATGTTTTTCGATGTATGAGTTTGCACGTTTTTGGAGCAGGTCAAGTCATTTCTTGAATCAGTAGTGTTCTTTCAGCCCTTTTTGCCGAAGCCAACATGTCCTGACGACCAATAGGTTGTTCGATTGACAGTGAACTCCCGGTCACTCATGGCCGGTTCCAGTCAGAGTTTGTCCAAGGCCGCTAGCTAGCGAGCTGCTGCAGCTGGTGCGATCTGAGGGATTGGTGGGATCTCTCTTAGCGGAGCTGGAGAGCGAGTTTTGTGAGTTTGAGATGATCGATGAGAAGGGTGATTCCAGTGGGGGGGGGAATGCCCGATGCCGCCAAGAGGCGATTGGTCGATCATGAAGAAGAAGGGAAAGCTCCGGCTCGACAAATGCCGGCGCTGACGCAGGCCCTGGCCAATTATGGACCAGGCCGTTCCAAGCATGGAGCCTTGACCAAAGCCTATCCGCCCGGAGTCGAGGATCTGGAGCAGTGGGGAAAGACCATCATCGAGACTGGCAAATATGGAAAGCAGGATTTGAGCTATGCTGAGCTCATCCAGTCCCGGAGACCCCCAAGGTGAAGTACGTTCAATGGCTCGTCGCACAAGGCAGTCGCTCAGATCTATCACCGTTGATGCAGGACCTGATTAGCTACCTGGTGATGTATCAAAAACCGGGATCCGAAGCTGGACCAATGATCCCAGGATCTGCTGTGACGCGCAAGTAATATAAGGCCTAGACGAGAACTGACGAGATGGCTGTCGGTCGAACAGAGGCAGAGTTCATGAGCATAGATGATGAAGTTTATAAGCCAGAAGGCTGAAATGGCCCTTCATGAACTGTTTGTTTAAGAGACTTATAGGAGTCTTGATGCTGCACATGGCATGCGTGTCGTCGCCCGAGGGATTTTCGTGGCACAAGGAAAAGCCCGCTGCGCGCCCTCAGGGGAGGGAGAGCTTATATATATATATATATACCGTCTATCTTTGTTTCCTGACCATGGATCTTTGCGGTGTGAGACCTGTCAGACTGGTTGACGGAATGCTCGAGGCCGGATGCGACGGTGGTGCATCTGCAACGTTCCGAGTATGAGATGGGCACCTCCCCCTCGTTGCCCAACGTGTCGGAAGACACTTCTGGAGCTTCTGGGCCCCTTCAAGGGCTGAACAAAAGAGATGCGCTTGGTTGGCCCCTTGAGGGGCCTTGGCACCTATGGGAGCATGTGCAGGGGACGAAAGGAAGCCATGGAAGATCATGTCCTGTGTACAAGGCAGCGTTTGTTGGGCATGAACTTCAGCCTTAAAGACCAGCGTGATCTAGGCCTCCTCCCGCACTTTGTCCGCGACGCCTTGGAGATTTGGCTGCCAGCTTTCTTCCGGTAAGGACTCGATGCCTGCACACAGGAGCCGCTGAAGAGCCGCTGGGGACAGGCTTTGGCCCTTTGTGGTGGAGGGCGGCTTCTGACAGAGATGCACAATGACGCAGTTTGAGCTGGAGGCATGCCAGGCTCATAGTGCTGTAGTGGTTGGCAGTGCCAATGACTCTGAAAGGGCGCGCAAAGATGCAGCAATTCCTCTGCCAAGCCCTGTATGGAAGCACGGTGTCCTGCTGAGTGCGCGACGTGTGAAACCGTCCTTTTATCCGTCGCTTGCTGCAGTGAGGAGGCAATCTTTCATTGAGCTTTTGGCCTCACGGCGCTCTCCAGACGCTATGGACCTAAGGTCCGGACATGCGGGAAATGAAAAAATATCGTCTATCTCAGCACTTCCATCCCCTCCATCCAACGGTCCGGCGGCCCGGCGGCCCGGCGGCGCACACACCCGTCCGCCCGTCCGTGGATCGCCTGTGAGTCCCCGACCGGCACGGCAGACCTCGGCGCACGGACGGACGGAGCGCGGCCACGGCGCTGCGAGGCCGGAGTGGCTTGGCCCGAAACGTCCTGGTTCTGTTGGGGTGCTTGGGAAAAGAGCTCCCTGTCGTGCCTTCTTTTCACAGAATCACCACAAGTGAAGCATCTATAAACTGCAGGGAAATGGGTCACACGGAGTTGATGGAACACCTTCCAAAATCCTGCTATTTCTGTCCGTGGTTCTTATAGAATTAGAATTCTAGTCCGCACACCCTGAGTGTCCTGCGCTGTGCTCAGGGTCACGGCACTTTCCGCTCTGGCTGGGGCACCTGGTTGACAGGCTGTTGTTGCGCCGGAGTTCTTGTTTGACCCAAAAAATGCATCAGAACATCTGAAGAAAGAAACGTTTCTGGTTCCGGTTCATGGCGGGCCAACATGAGAGTGGCCCCTGCGTTTTCAGATGTTCACACATCAAATGTTCAGCAACCATGAGAGTATCATGAGAATCTAGGCATGGACCCCATGAAACTCACTGTCCAGTCGCGTAGCCATGCGACTCGGTTCTTCCTCGCACCTTTGCTGCAGGGAACCCTCTGAAATGCCCTTGGAAAAGGTGAGTTGGTAGAACCGTTCATGGTCTCCTCAGATCAATGTCCTCATAGGGGTGGAAGATAAACAAGACAAGGCCGTGCCTGCCACATCAAGCATTGCAGAGTCCTGGCAGGCTCCAAAACAACGGATCAAGCAAGCCAGCCTAGGAGTACAAAGAAACTTTTCTGCGAATTTGCCAATATCAATTGGTCTCACCAAGGATATAGATTTGAGTTCTGCCAGGTCCCTCCAGCTGGCCCCTGGTCAGTCCAATTGCCAACTTGTGGTTCCAAAAGTTCATCCTTGTTCTATCTGTTCACTTTCAAGTCTGTTTCGCCATGAAAATGTGATGCGCCCAGCATGGGGGACGGATCCCATGTTGGACATGTTGTCAGACCAAAACAACACACTGGATCCGCACGCTCTCCTGCTCAGCGCCAAGTACCTGAAGAAGAAGGGCCCGGGCTGTGCTTAGGCCGGCCGCTTGCGGGCGGCGGGCGCGGTCGCTCCAGGGAAGAAGGACGTCGCATGTGCTCCACTTGTTGCTCGACGTGAACCCGAAAACGCGCGTTTCGAGGGCAAGTTCTGCAAGTGAAAACGCAGAACTGCAGAACCAATGGAACCTCTATATAAATCAGAGGCTAATCCAGAATCCAGAATCCAACCCTCTACATTCATCTGTATGTCTCATCGTTATTGGTTCGACCAACAGCTGGATCACCTGATCACCTGCACCCGTAAGATCACGCGCACTCCGATCACATGCTGATCATCTGCAGTCTGATCATCTGGGCCTCCCCACTGGGGGGGTGGATTCCTCCACCACCCGACCTGGGGCGGCTCGGTCACATGGCCGGTTACGTGGTGCTTCGCCGGAGTTCGGACCCCAAAATCAGCGTACAGACATGCCAACAGAGGTCAAGTGACCTTATAGGACCCTACAGCGGTACCTATAGGATAGTCTAGTTCGGGTTCTGACCCACCTCTGCTGGTGGACACAGGAGACCCTGCAAACGGTGTCTGTGCTTCTAACAGCATCTAACAGCTATTTAAAACCGCTGCAGGCTTTGTGATGTTTTTGTCGCGACGGCTTCCTGCTTCGTTTGTTGGCTCATATTGCGAGGCGTCGCCGGGCGCGGCGGCGACGACCGTTGCGACGACCGTTGGGCGACAGGCGAAAAGGCGGCAAACACACCAAAAACATCTCCGTTGTAATCAGTGCCCTATTACTGTACGAGTTCCACACCAAATCTTATGATTTACTGGAGATCTGAAGAAAAGGTGCGAAAAGGTGCTAAATCAGAGAATGTATAAAATTTGACCACCCCTTCAGTTCCGTGGTCCTTGGCATGTAAACAACCCCCCCCTCTTGGTCCATGTGCAGCGACCGAGCTCTCACCGAGTCCGGTTCTTCCCACTGAAACATCGGCAGCTCTTCCTCACGTTGAGGATCGGACGGAACGCCAGCTCTTCTTGTTCAGCAGCGACCTGTTGGGCATGGGTCGATCGCCATGGGTGGACTGGGCTTCGGCTGAAGGCCGGATAGATCGTGAACTGATGGGTGCGAGGAGTTGGTTCAGGAATGGCCCCCTCATCCAAAAGCCCTATATAGAGATCCAGGATCCAACCACCATTCCTTACGAGCCCGCACCAGTCGGATCAGTGAACCTTCGAGTGGCACTCCGCACTCCGCTTCAGTGGCGCGCACCGCACCGTCGCGCGGCCGTTGAAGTCGCACTCGACTCCCCGGGTCGCCGAGGTTCAAAGCCCTGTAAAAGGGCTGCAGTGCTTGTCACAGGTGTTCACCCGGCGGGAGGTTCACCCAGTTCGAGACTTCGTGGGTCAAGGGAAAAAGAAAGAAGACTAGTCGTCGAAAAACCCTGGGGTTGCAAGACAAACCCCACGAATCCATGTGTGCTTATAATATAGGTCGAATCCGGATTCCAGCCACCTTTTCTCTGAAGCCAAAGCAGATCGGTCTCATGCAGAACTGCAATCTGATCCTCCGTGCCAAGGTGGGGGCCCGAGCATTTGCCAAGCATTTGACAAAGGACCCTCCTTAGCGCGGCTCCTTCGTGCCATCCAAAGCGCCGAGCGCTCGGCCGCCGCGCGGACGGCGCGCTCGCTCGGCCCGAGCCCCGGGAACGTCGTCCGGACCTCTTCCAGGCGCTGCTGCAAGTCCTGCGTCATGCAAGAAGGCGAGGGACCCGTGCGAAAGACAACCGAGGTCCGTGCAGCCAGGGGAGAGAATCAAAACTTGATGACTGTCAGACTCGACATGGATTCTGGACCTTTGGAAGTGATTTTTCACTCTGACACCACCAAGAAAACGGGATGAAATCATAAATCTCCACCCAAAAAAAAAACAATATCATAGCGAAAGCGGGGGTCCAAGCTCACGTGCAATATCCCAGCACAAATGCCATTGCCACGGAACAACCCAGGTGATGGACACTCCGCTCGCCAATAAACCCTTCTACCATGCTGTTCTCACGTCCCAGGCCTTCTAGTGGACTTAGAACAATCAATCAATCAATCAATCAATCAGGTCAGGTTGGACCAGGCTGAGGCCCTGTCTTGGTATGTCTTGGGGTCATCTGGTGCAGTCGACCTCACCCGCCGGAACCTGTGGCCACCACCGACACGGTCGTGTCCTCCGCTCGCTGGGTTTGCTCCTGGAGGGCCTTCTGGAGCTCATCCACCTGGTGTCACCGTGCTTTCAGCTGCCAATGGGCCCCCCTTAAGGGGGTTGGTCTCCCCCCGCGGTTCCGAAGCCCGCAGCTTCGTTGTTTCCGTTTCACCCCGGGTTCCCGGGATTGGAGGGGGTCTCCTCTGGTGGTCTGTGTGGCTCACTTCGGGAAGATCGGAAGAACCACCTCTTCACTCCCGCTTTGTGACACCGTTTACCTGTGCACCCGAGCTGGTCTCTTTCCACCTGGTCCATGCTCCACAGCTGTTCCAACGGCACACCCGCCGTGTAGCGCCTCACTCCTCCTGGTCCCAGCACTTGAGGATTGCTTTTCGGCCAATTCCAAGGCTTGCCGCACGCGCTCCTCATGACTGCTCAACACCTGCACTGGCATTGGCAAGAAAACCATAATTCACAACTCAGAACTGATCATATAGAGTAAGGGGCACAATGCGGATGGGGTACCACATAAGAAAATTAGGAGAAAATTTGCCTCTGCACGTCTAAGAAAGCCCCATCGTGTTGGTCTCCTGGCCCAAGATCTCATCAAGGCTTGGCTCAATATATATATATATATGTATATGTATATATATATATGTATATGTATCTATATATATATATAGCAAGGGTTCAATGGGACACCTCTGGGCATAGATAAGTTCTCCATGATATCACTCGATGACGCTTCCACCAGAACATCCCAAAAAGACAGTGTCCTAGACCTAGAATGTGAAACAGTTTAGAATGCATGCAGGGTCTGCTTGAGTAGTATAACAATCTTAACAGTGAATGCTAATAAGTCTATAAGGGTGTCAATAGTCTTTAGGAGCCATATAAATAATATAGTTTCTTCGTGATAAAATTGACCCTATATTTTCTACATGTGAAGCCTCACACAGAAGCTTCGGGTCGTATGCTCAAGATTGTTCAAGTCACTTCCGCATAGAGCCCAAGTTTGAAGAGATCCCGATGTTCATCTATGCCCAAATCGATGCCACTGTTCCTTGGGGCCCACCAGTGCTGCTTCTGTGAGCGCCTGCTGAAGATGTGCCGAAGGCTCAATCCATGCCTGCGGGCAAAATCCCTCAAGTAGCACGACCTGGGTAATGACCAAAAGTATCTTTTGATAGCTTTTGATCAAAGCCCTCGAGGCCCTGAAGACCAGCGATCCTTGCCTGTGAAGCTCCACAATCGTAGGGATCGGGTTCAGTGTGTACATGAGTAGAGATGGGTGAAGAGCTAGAGCTACAGAAATCTAGATGGGGCACCCACCAAACACGAAACCACCACTTGCAAAGGAATCACGATTATGAAAGCGACGAAGAGGAAAAGCGTGAGCTCACACTGCCCACACCCTGGTTTGAACATTCTTATCCACACCCGTCCACCCCGCATGGAAATTGGAGACAAACCCAAGCACCAAGGCAAGGCGCAACAGTGCTAGTGACGTGCCGCAACCAATATGGGCCTTCCCCAAGCAATATGGATCTGGAACCAAGAAAAAGATACAAACCATCCTTGAAAGACGCATGGGAACCTCCTTGTTTGACGCATGCAGAGTTGGGCATCCTTCGGCTATCTTGAGATCTTGAGGTTCTGTGGAACCATGTGGAACCAATAAGGACGCTACTAGTAGCTCCTGGCCTTACTGCTAGGAGCAAGAAGCTACTAGTAACAAAGGGCATCACTACTAGGAGCCAGGACGCTACGAACGTAGCAAGAACCTATTGAATTGCAGGCCATTACTACTTAGTAACAAGACCGTGCCTTGCACGTGCGCTCTGCAAGCCTCAGGAACCGCGAATCGAGGTCTCGTTCGGTGCGGGCACCATGCCCCCCACCGCGCGCGGAAGCGGCGCGGCGAAGGCGGGGAACCACGAAGGCACGTTTCGGTTGAGGCATGAAGAAAGCCTGTAGACACCATGTCTGAAGTGAAGATCTTTGTCTGAAGTGAAGATCTTAGGTCTCGCTTTCTCTTTCTCTTTCTGAATTTCTCTCTCTCTCTCTCTCTTACAAAATATGGCCCCTGCCACGCGAGCATATCTCTGATGGCCGCCAAGGCAACAGCATCCTGGCTTTCAAAGTGCTGGACACAAGCACAGTATGTACTGGTGGCGGAAACTCTTTGGTTTCTCCTCTCACACATGCGAATCTCTTGAGCAGTACAGCACCACAAGCAGTAGGGACTTGAAGAATGTTCGGGAAACAGTTGGGTGCGACGGCCCCAAACAACACCTGGAAGCTTTAGGAGACGTACGTAGACAAGTCAAAGCCAAGAGTCTTTGAGCCGGGGAGAATAGAACGTCATTTGGTTCGATGTAGCCTGATGGGAATGAAGAGTCAGCTAGCAAGACCACTCATCAGGAGTTTAAAGCAATGAGTGACGTGGAAACTACTTATTTGACAGTACATGACAGTTACGGAATTCATTTTGGACTTTAGATGGGCCTCTGTAGGAAACCCTTGCCTGTCGGTGATGACAACTTCCCATGGACTGGCATCACATTGCTGGATTGGTCGGCTTCGTATCGCTTGTGCATTGCGGGCGTCCAACCTAAGAAGTCAATGCCCGTTTTGTCAAAGATACGTTTCTGGTGCAATATTGAACAAGCAGGTGTGTGTTGCATCCTACGTGCCTCCAGGCTGGTGGTGCATCCTACGTGAAATACCAATGTAGCTTGCTATGACAGCCCACTGCAACCAACATGTTCATGGTCAATAAGGCACTCTCTGGGAGAAGCGATCCCAAACTTTGGCCCACTGTTGGTGGGTTGGAAGCAGCAGCCAACTGTCACGGTCGTGCTGACATGGTGGTGAATAACATGCGGAACTCGGCACCGACATGGTTTTGTGATGTGATCGCCACTCACTTATGAAGTGGCTCAGCCATCAGAACCCTGCGGATATTTTGCACATTACAACAAGCAAACATCACCAAAAGTCCAACTATACACTCCCTGGAACTAACATGGAAGTGGACAATGGCCCCGAAAGGAAGACCATTTTCCACCACAAACAGGTGGTTTTCCACTTCCATGTTAGTTCCAGGGAGGGTAGATGGTTTTTGATGAACCCTTGCGACATGCTCGGCGAGAGGTCTGGCTTCGGCGCTCAGATGTGTCGGGATTGGTCGGTCCACACCACCATGACAGTATATGACAGGGACAAAAACTGGGGGGGCACTTGGCAGGAGCTTCTCTTGGAGACTTAGGAAGAGCCTCTAATGTAGACGCTTGATCAATAAAGCCCCCAGCCTGGAAGAGGTCGGGTCGGGGGGGCTTGGACTGCATCCAGAGTCTACATGAGGCTTCGCCCAAAAGCAGCCGAAACCGCTCCACCTCCCGCTGTCCTGCTGCACGGATTCGGGACCAAAGTCGCGCAGGGAATCGAAGCCGGCCTGACCGTTCGGCCGGAATGGGCCACGCGCCACGCGGCGCCACGTGGCGTCCACGGCTATGTGAAGGGCGGACGGGGAACCAACACAAAAGGCGCAGTGTTCTTAGAAAAACACCGAATTGGGACGACTAAGAATACTTTGGACCTCGCGCGAATATAGAGCGCCCCGACAACAGCACACAGAGATGAGTTTGCGTCATGAGCCCTGCTCTTGCACACTGGATGCTTTGAAAAACAGCGGAATTGGGCTACCGGAATGGACGTTGAATCCGAATCGTTGCAAAGGCAAGTTGCGACCAATACCTAAAGATCGGCGCCCGTCACTTCCTTGAGTCTAAGAACCGGTGCTTAACATAGGGAGGAGGGCTTAAGGGACATAAGTCGGAGCATAAGGGACACAAACTTGTAAAAAAAAAAAAGGCACGAGCCCTAGTCCTAGGCATCCTCAGAGCCCTAGCCTTCACAAACAAACGAAGGTGGAAGTTCGGCCCTGAGGATGTCGAGGAAGCGACTCGTCGACTCCGTGTCGCCGTCCTTCCCCACGTTGAGACCGAGTCACCCTGTGACGAATAAAACAAGCCAAACAACCAAGCCCCAAGACCAACCAACTGCACAATAAAACATCAATGTATATCAAGGTAAAGCCTTTTTGAGGGTCCCAAAAGGCTGTCAGGCTGAATTAGAATAAATAGATCCTCTTAGGATTCCAAAGTATGTCACAAACTTGTTCTTAAGCAATGCCATATAGCAACTCAAACACTACTACCCTCTCCAAAAACAGGGGGAGAACCGTGCGATGAAATTGGATCATGGGGATAGGTGGATGACACCCATGATAGTTTTGGATCTGCATGTCTATAGAGGCCAGAAACGATTTCCACTACGGATTCACTGTTCTGTCTATGTTTGATCATGTACTTGATTTTGTCACCCATTTCTACAAAGGGGGTGCATGCCTGTTCATGGCTCAAATAATGGGGTCGGGGAAAGCAATGGACCAAAAATGGAGCGGCTCTGCCTGGGTCCGGTCCTGTACAAGGCCTTCACCTAGACTCAGAAGAATCTTTGGGCACCTTTAAGTACTCCGCTCCTGGGACAGGGACACCTTCCTCCAAGATGAGCAACACGAAGCAGCTTCAAGTGGGTTGACTGTTCAAACCTGTATTTGGTTTGATGCCTTGGAGAATATGGCCAGAACTTCCAAGAAAGGAAGATTATCTTTTCTTAAGAATGCAATAATCGCAAGAAACCAAGTCATCCATTAGGAGAACATCTAAGCACTGTTTAACCACCAAAAAAAGAAACAGGAGCCTGCACCCAGACCAGGAGTCGCTCCAAGGTCCTTGGATGGTCCGCCAAATTTGAAGCTGCGAAGGATATCTTGGCACATCAAACGGATGTTTAATTGGTTTCGGATGATTCCCATCATTACAAAATAATAACGGTAACGGTAATGTGAAATGAGAACCACTGCCACATGAGAACAGGGGGGCTCTCATAGGAAAGTCCACCTCGGTCGGCCCGGCCCGTGAACATCCCACAAACATGACCTCGGATCCCCCCAACTACTGTTGAGGGACCCACCACTGCAATGCAGACCTCTGCCGGTCGGCGACCCTGGCCGGTGTCACCATTCCAGACCCTCAAGTAGGGTATGACCTTGGCCTACCAATGGATGTCTTCAGACCAGTGGACACCCCCAACCGTTGTGTCTCAGCCGTCCTCCAGCCGTCCCGTCCAGAAGCCTTTTTTCATGGCCTTGTTCGGCCTGGGTGATGCCTTGTTCATGAAAAGAAGCGCCGCCCGTCCAGTCGTGCCGATCCGTCTGATCGTTGGTCCAGTCGTTGTCCGGTCAGTCGTTGGTCCAGTCGCATCGTCCAGTCATCTGAGGCATCGTCGAGTCCACGGCCTTTTGCAGGAGCTTGTTCTGCTCCATGTGCTTGTTCTTTTCTTCCTTGCGAACCAGCCGGACGCATGGATTGATCCAAAAAGAGTCCGGTTTCACTCACTATACTGAAACCATCATGGCTTCACTGACTCGTCCACCCGAGACATCGGTGGGTGAGACACCACCGCTCTGTTGGACGAGGAAAACATAGAACAAACCGAACCTGACAGAATCCAAGTGGCTCGTACATCACGTGTCTACCACATCCGATGGCCCCGACGTCAAGCGACATCAAGCGTAAGTCGTAAGTGTCTCTCCTGTCTCGACTGTGCCGGTCCTGGAGCAGCACCATGTGCTTCTCAAGGTGCTCATGATTCTGTGCCACAGTCTGGGCCTAGCATTTCACATGGTCTGTGAGACCAGTCTGGTCCATTGACCAAACCCGGTTTCTGGCTCTCCCGAAATGGGCTTTGCGCGTGGCGGACGTCGCTTCCGTTAGCAAAAAACTCACCCAAACGCCACAGGCAGCGTTCGGTGGAGACAGGCATGGCTGTTACTGCCCTGTAAGTCTTTCGATGTCAATGGTCCCAATTCTATATCACTGAAATAGTTATCGTAATGATGTATATGTGTACATGCATTAATATGTATGCATATGGAAAAAAAATGTGTTTGGTATCACCTATCACTCATACAAATGAACTTTGTTTCAGATGATGAACTGCAGCGACTTCGCTCTCGCGTCCTCTACGGCTTCATCCACACCTTCCGTCCGCACAACACACACCCCTCGGTCGCAGCGGTCGAAGCGGTTCCTCGCCTTGATCTTCTCACTTTCCGCGTCCTGCGCGCGCGTTCACCGCCGTTCGTGTGGGGTCGGAAGACGGCGGGTTGGAGCCGATGCCGAGCCGGGTGAAGGGCATAGGTGGCCGTGGGATGGGTCCAGAAGTGACCCAAAGTCCCAAGCTGTGGGGTTTTGTGGGGGGCCAACTTCCTTTACGTTCACCAACTGTGACCTCAGTCAAACAACCAGATCCTTTCACCAGTTCCGGTACACGGTGGTGCTGGATGAATGTCCTCAACATCGAACTCAACGAACTCCACGGGAGTTCGCTGCCCCCCCAAACGTCTGAAGGGTCCCAACAAACGACCTCCGCGTGGCGCGTGGTAGCGGGCCCCGGCGCTGGCCCCACCTTTTGAAAGTCCAAGAACGGGACCAAGGCTGGAAAGGAGGCGGCCAAGGGTGAGGGCCTTGGGGCGGTTGGGGGCCATGCGGTCACCCGTGTTCCTGGTTTCTTGAAGTTTACTCTCGCTGGAACTAACATGGAAGTGGAAAAGCACCTGTTTGTACTGGAAAATGGTCTTCCAGGGGGGCCATTCTCCACTTCCATGTTAGTTCCAGGGAGTGTAGAGTGAATTGAACATCTTAAATCGGGCATGCTTGGAACTCCTGAAATCGTGGTTCGAAGCACACAGCATAGACCGCCACGGTGTTGAGCCGCAGATCCCAAAACTCGCCGATGGGTTGGGAATGCTTGTGAACTGATTGTGATTCTAAAAGCTCTGTCTCAAAATCATCCATTTTGTCTTGTTTGATGAGACCCGAAGCTTCGAGGTTAACACCAGTAACTACAGTAGATGTTTGCAAAAAACATTTGCAAACTTGCCCTTCACTCTGTGAAAGCCAAATAGAAACTGTCAGGTCATCTAAAATGCAGTTGAGTTTTTCTCAAAACATCCCAGAGATTCAGCAGAAGACTGCGAATCATATAAATGAACATACGAAAATATGAAAACCGATCTATGTGAACTCTAGATTCTAGATCCCTTTTTCTAGCCGAGTGTTGCCTTCTGCATGTAGCAACTCTCCTTGGAAAGGCCTGCACACTTCTTATCCAAACTACAGTCCCTTCTTTCCTTCCAGGAGACTCTCATCTTCAAAAGCATCCAACCAAAAAGCGCACCAAAAAGATCGAAAAAAACGGCTGTCCAAACGACCCAAACACCGCCCGCCTGGGCGGTTCGACCGCGCCATCCGACTCCGAATCCTCCTCCTCACACGAAACAGCGAGCGAAAGAAGGTCTGATCAAGAGCATGGAAGAGTCACCTCTTCAGCATGTTGAGGAACAGCACCTCTATAGCACTATAGCTCTATAGCACTTTAGAGATCTTGAACTAGATGATCGATCTTTTTTCGAGCGGGCTTGTGAGTGAAACCGCGTGGTGATCTCGTCCAGAGACGATTGGCCGAGTCAGCCCCCGAGTTGGGCCGCCGGGCGGTCGAAACAGGAGACGAGGTCCAGGTGATCAGTGCGAAGGCAGAAAGGGATCTACTGAGTATCTACTGGACGAAGTAAGGGAAAGACAGAAAAGGACGAAGTCAGTGATCTACTGAGTATCTACTGCTTAGATCAAAGGACGGACCGGGGCGTTTGGACCTGGGGTCCTTGATCTTTTTCGGAAGCGTCGCTTCGGGAGAGGAAGCGGCGAACCGCCGGGCACATGGACGTTGCAACGCTGCGGTCCTTCCTCCCCACATGGGAGTCTCTCGAAGGGAGACCCCAAACACCTTATGTGTATGTACTGGGACTATGAGGTGACCTATTGGATATCTGTGGTTGTTCCTCAATGAATGCGGCGCAACATGACAGCACGTTACGATGCACTCACCATGGTCTTCATCTTCATCCACGAGCATGTTTTTGCGAACCCTGCCAGGTTCGAAGGCCAAAATCCGACCAAATCCCATGGAGAACCTCGGTGAGTGGTGAGTCATGAGTCGTTCAGCGCCAGCTGAACCGCCGGTGTCACCGGTTGGTTGAACACCTCTTCACCGAAGCAGCCCAGGCTCCCTCCGGAACCGGGACCGGTCCTCGAAGCTCTTGCGCCGAGGTCCAGAGGAGATCTTCTGGCGTCGGCGAGCCGCCCGTGGCGGTCAGTGACGGTCCACCCCAGGGGCAACGGTGACCGAAGAGCACACTTGGTAAAGCCACACGTGTCGCTGGCTTCGAAAGAAAGGAGGAAGGAAGAAAAGAAGGAAAGAAGAAAAGAAGGAAAGAAGGAAAGAAGGAAAGAAAGGAGGAAGGAAGAAAAGAAGGAAGAAAAGAAGGAAAGAAAGAAAGAAAGAAAGAAGGCGTCAAGGGGACGAACAGAATCCCAAAAGATTTCTACTCAAACGCAGTATATCTGGGACCAACTGGCTGTGGCAGCTCTCTTCCTGAAGTTCTGACACTTATACACAACGTGGCAACTCGTGATCAATCTGAACGTCTTCCCCCGACGAAGTTCTGTGGAGGGCTCCCTCCGTCCGCGGAGCCACCCACGACCCGGGATCCCAGTGAGGTCGTCAGGCACACCTTCACCATGACCGGTGCTGCAGTCTCCTCTTCAACCTGCAAATGAACATATCCCACACCGGGCGTCGCTGACTCCAAACGGCTGGTTTCCACAGTCTGACCTGGGAAATCTTAGACTAAGTCCTTGAATAACAAAACTTTGGACGTTGTTAGTACAGAGTCTGGCTCTTACATCCACAAGATATCACAAGATACATATGTCCATGTGCTTTTAAAGGCAAAGGAGGTGCCCACGGTCGGTCTTTTGGGAGGCGTTGCCGTGTGGGCAACACGTGTTGGTCGTCCAAAGGCAGTCCCTACTCATCTTTGGAAACTCATCTCATCAAGAAATCAAGCAAAACCCTGGTAATTAGTACAGAAAGAACGAAAAGCCTGCAGTGGATCTATGAGGTAAAACGTTTAATTCAAAAAGAAAGAACGATGACCCTTCTCTAGACATCCGGCGGACTGTCTCAGGCGGAAAACGGCATGGCATTTGGCGGCGGCATGTTCCGCTCCTCACTGGAACTCTCCAACAACTGCTCAGGGGTCATACTCCTGGCCATCAGAAGCTGGCAGGTCTGCGACTGGCAGGTCCACCCCGAAGTATGCTGGGCACACCCCGTCTACACACCCAAAAAAATCCAAAAAGGGCGAAAAAGGATCAACACATTTCACTCAGACGCAGCTAGGCGCAGAAAACCTGGCCCACCCCCGCGGAAACCGAGGAGTTCGCCCCCTTCTGAGCATCGTTGTTGCTGCTGCCGCCGTGGCTTCGTTGTGGAGTCGTTTGTTGTTCTTTCGTTGCTGTTCGGGTGTTTCTGGTTCATGGTCTTCGTGTAATGGTATGACCACGAGGGTGCCATTGTCACAGGACGAGTTGTCTGTGAATAATTATCCTGAACAAACAAATGTCCTGAAATGTCCTGTTGTGTTTTTGTTTTCTCTCAAGTGAGACTCGTGACTAGTTAGTTGTATATACATTTCATAGCACAGCAATTTTGAAGATGCCCTATATCCAACGCACGCATTTCTCCTTTTTGAGAGCTCGATCGCTTATGTCGCTCCTTATGAAAGCGCCAGCCGAAAGCAAACGTTCTTGATCGAGTCGGCTCATCTTGAAGTCGACAACATCACATCGGCTTGAGGTCTCGGTCTCTGGGAAAGTAATCAATCGCCTCCATCAGATCCCCCACAAATTTCAGAAAGAACTTATCCTTCTCCAACAGCTTCTCCAGCGTCTGTCTGCGATCGTGTGCCTCATCCAGTGTAATCAGCGCATCCTGAAATGCCTCGTTCTGCAGCGCCGAGCGCACCCCCACATGCCCCCGCAGCGCGCAAAGGCGGACCTCGCTGATCAGATCCTCTTCCTCCGGCTCTTCCTTCCGGGGTCGCTTGGCGGACTCCCGTTCCGGGCGCGCGGGGCACTGGCCCGCCGCGTGGCGACGATAGCAGGGCAGAGAACAGTATCTCTCGCGGCAGCAAGGGAAGCGATATTTCACCTCTACGCCGCCACACACGAAGCACTTCATGGCGGACGGAGCCCTAACTTGGGCCACTGCTGGCAGCAGGAGTGGAGGTTTCTCGGGTCCTGAACATCCTGAGCGCCCAAACAAAACGAAAAAGACTGGTCGACTGGACAGAAACAAGCCAGGCACCACCGAGAGACCACCACACTGTGCCTGGGTGCCGAGCTGATTTGGGACGAGGCACGGGAAGATTGCACTATCTGAGATCACTGATGGGTCAGATCAATACTCAGCATGTCTTTTTGGGGGATGGGGAGAACGGGGCCGCCATTGGGTCCCTGGTGTCACTGCGTGACTTTCCACCATCTCCGTTCAAGCCTCAAGCTTTAACATCTGGACTGCTGGAGGAGGATTTCAATCTGTTGAAGTTAGCCGATGCTTTTCAAAGATGGCCCCAGGCCAATCCATTTCGCCTCAATCCCCACTTCCCTGCATAGTCCTATCGTCTCTATCGTCGGCGAGACTTGGATCTTCCCATCCGAGATCGGAGAGGAGGAATGCTTCAAACTCGCAAAAATCCCGTTTGCCTGAAGAATGTTCACTCACGTCTCATCGCAATACCCCACAAACTCCCCCAAAACCTCTTGCCTATAACCGTTTCTACTATATATACAGTATATATATATGTATATATTATATATACCAGTATATATATAAATATATACCAGCTGTGAAAAAAATAAATGAGGCATCCAAAAAAGGCAGACGCATGCGCCCAGATGACCCGGGATCCCCACACCACCGGTGTCTGCCATTCGGGAGACCCCGACGAGTCGGAGCGCGAGCGCGCGAAGGCAGGGGCTGCGTGCACACCTCGGGGGTGAGACGAAGCAGATCGTTTTGCCGGGGATGGAAATGTGTTCAGGGGATGGATGAGACTCAGTCCAAGTCCGTTTTGAAAATAGATGGAGTCCAAGATGGATGAACATGGATTGATGGAACACAAAAAATGGATCTGATGTGAATCGGTAAACCGGTGTAAACCGGTGTAAATCGGTAAACCGGTGTAAACCGGTTTAAATCGGTAAACCGGTGTCGTCAAATGCCAGACGCGCGTGATGTCGCAATGGGATCTGATCGACTTCATCTTCCAATTGTTGGACACTTTCCATGTTGGGACTTTGGACAGGAGAGCCATGCTTGCTTCAAAGTGGCCTTTTGAGGCGCCAGTTTGAGGTCTTTGAACCCAGGAAGAGGTGACTTTGAGGAAGGTCAGGGAAATCTGGTCAATTGGCAGAACGACGTTGGCTTCACCTGTTTGATCGTCCAAACCGTGATACAAGACCCACAAATTGATACAAAGCCAATCAAACAGTGCCCACTGAGCTCCCAGCGAACATCACCCTGAGAAGTGAGGGAATCCCGCTTGGAGGTGGGGTTGCTCCTTGGCACAAGATGAGATCTGACACGGAGAGAGAGAGAGAGAGAGAGAGAAAAGGAAAATCACTGGTGATGTAAAAAATCGGTGATGTAAGGAGTAACTTCCAGAGACAAAAAAAAGCGTCTTGGTCTTTTGTTGCATGTCTGCATTCTGTCAAAACAGCACACTCCAAACCGGATGCGTCCGACCGCATCTTCAAATCGACGGTCTTCATCACCAATGTTGCCAAGTCCATCGCTGGCTTCTTTGCACATTGATGGACAGGTCATGCAGGTGTTCAGTTTGTCAAACGGAAAGCCCTGTTCGTCCACGTTCCTTCTACACGGAGCACGTCACTTTCGAAACGCTTTTCAAAGGATGCTTCAATAGAATCACAAGTCCAGCAATCCATGATCCCGTTTGCTGGTGTCAGGTGGAGAAATCTGCTCAGCATGATTCAGCATGTCCGGTTTCTTTCCCCCCCTACCCCAACCCATCATACCCATCCCTCTCTGAGACCCTCACTGTGCAGCGTCGTTCTTCCGCTCCGTCCTGGGTTCGTTCTTCCGCTCCGAGAGCAGCGGTCGGTCCCCGGTCGCTGCTGGAGTCCGGTTGGAAAAAGCAGGTAGAAAAGCACGTGGCATTTTGAGAGGTCAAGGACTTAAAGAGGAAAGATGTCTTTCTGCCTCAGATCTAGTGAATCGGCAGACAGTTGCTGTCAGAGATGGTGAAACGGAAGTGCTGGATGTCAATGTCCAAGAAACTTCAAAGTCAAGCTGTTCGCCATCCACGCACTTGACAAGTGTCGCCGCTTGACACCCACAAACTGCTACATTCATGTACCTGCCAATCATTCTCAAAGAGGAAGGCCTTTAGATGTACATGATGGGGGTGTGATTGTCATGTACTTCGCCTAAAAGTTCTATTGGTAGCTCGACTTCGTCACCTGCCCTGCGAAATCACCTACTTCACCAGCACTCATCTCCGGCCTTCGTGCGAGCCCGCTTTCGCTCCGGGTGGGCTCCATGCGCTCCTTGACCTCACCACCTGTGGCAGGCGCTGCGTCCAAAACGTCGGCGTTGGAAAAGGCTAAATTACAATAAACACTAAACACAAGTCCCACACAAACATCAAGTTTGGAGACCGTTCACCCCACTTGCGATCGTGGGTGAGCTTAGCGATGAATGAAGGTCTCGTCCACACCAGTGGCGACAAGGGTATGGTCCACATGACCCGTTCCCCACCTTGTGGGGACCCGAAAAAAAGAAGTGCTTGCCTGCTGTCAGAAGAACACAGTTCTTACTCTTCGTACAGTCGCATTCTAGAAATATAATACAAATCATATGCAACTTGCTTTTTGTGCCCAAGCAGTTTGAGGGAACACCATTCGTACCACCAGCACCACGGCCGCAGAGTTTTCTGAGGCCGCGGCTAATGTGGGCATTGCCTGATGGGACCTGCAAGGCAGCCACGAAGGCATAAAACCACACAGAAAACGGATGAAAAGTGGAAACAATGACCCGTTGGGCAAAACATTGCAGCTCCTTACAATGACCCGTTTGGGCGTCACAGCTACCTACTTGTTCCAGCGACCTCCGCGTTCCCGGACCGTGCTCTCCGGAATTTCTAGGAGAATCGGTGACACACAGACACTGCCGGCCTGGTCGGGGCCGAGAACGAAGGTGGAGAAGTGCATCATGGGAGAATTTCCTCCATCACCTCGCATCCAGCGGATGTTCCCACCCGTGAAGCAGCTGGGCGGCTCTGAAGAGCCCCCCCTCCACTTCAAAAAGTAGCGAGTCTGCACCAACGGTATTTGAGCGATCTGAATGTCGATCCATCCGAAAATAAAACACGACGGTTCCGCATCCCTTGGAGGGACTTCCGCATCCCTACACACGGACGACACGTCCCGGACGGCGCGTTGGAAGTCTCGGGTCTGGGGCGCCCGGGCGGAGCTTTTCCTTCGCTTCTCTCCGCTTCTCCTCCTGCATCCTGAGAGTCTCCAAGGCCTGCGAGTCCCATCGGTGGCCGGTTCGAGACAAGTAGGGCGGTGAGAAAAGGCCACCTAAAGGTTGGCCCAGACTAACAAGGAACAATCTAGTGTATTACTATATCATAGTAATTACATATACATATATCCGCCGACCCCGGCCTATAGCCAAAGCCTAGGCGGGGAGGCGCCTGGGACACCGCAGGGTGAAGCAGTTGGCCAAGCCTAGCAGAACCCTTCAAGCACTTCCAAAGGCGCAGGATGCAGCAGTTGGCCAAGCCTAGCAGAACCCTTCCAAGCACTTCCAAAGGCCTGTCCGAGGCCTCAACAGCTGGCTGGCCTGTTGCGGCCTCTCTGTGGCCTGTCCGAAGCCTGCCTCCTCTCTTCTTGTGGGCCTCTCTGTGGCCTGTCCGAAGCCTGCCTCCTCTCTTCTTATGGGCTTCCGAAGGCAACGTTAGGCATTTTGGACCGCCTTCAAACGCTCCTCGGCAGCTGGCAGGCCTGTTGCGGCCTCTCTGTGGCCTGAAGGCGACGTTAGGCATTTTGGCTCGGCTTCAAACGCTCCCCAGAGCCTCACCGCAGCCTTGCCCTCTTCTCGGCAGCTGGCAGGCCTGGCTCCTCTTTTCTTATGGGCTTCCGAAGGCAACGTTAGGCATTTTGGACCGCCTTCAAACGCTCCTCGGCAGCTGGCAGGCCTGTTGCGGCCTCTCCGGTTCACACCAGATGTCGCGCCAAATGCCGTGTCCAAGCACGATCAAACTCTTTGGCGCTCGACCCTTGAAGAAGCCTTATATACTATAAAACAAAGTCTACCAGAGCTCCTAGCCACCTGCATTCTACATCGCTGTGGCTTGAATGCCAGCATTGGTGTGAAGCCCATCCAAGTCTCGCTGTTGAATCCCAGGAAGTTGTCAAGGTTCAACCGCCAAACCCTCGAGATGAAAAGGGGTCGGCGGCACCCGGGCGGAGCCCTTACAATATATATATATATTGTATATATAACAGGGTACGATTCGGGTACGATGTCTTCTGTGCTTTTCAGGCCTACCTGCTACTACTTGCTTCATCTACCCGGAATCTACACGAGTACGACCACCCGGTGAGAGCCCGGCCGGCCCCTTCCGCCCGCCCGACGAAGCTGCGTCGTCCGACCTTCTGCAGCTGCGTGGACAACTCCTCGGAGCGGCTCTCCGCCTGGCGGTCGGGACAAGCGACCACCCAACCGGCCTTCGCCCGGGTCCGCCGTGTTCCGGTGTCCGTCCGTGCGAACGACGGAGAAGAAGACCGGTCTCAAGTGGAAAGTGTTGAGTTGAAACATCGAAAAAGGACGGGGAGTGAAGACACAGATCATCCAAAATCATCCAAAATCTATGATTGAAGCATTGTTTTCATGAGATTCAGCGAGCCTCGGATTCCAGTGCGATCGTGCTTCATCTCTGCATTCACTGTTCTGTCCATTTTGACTCGCTGTAGAAAACATGTACATCATGTCCTATGGGAGGATGGGAAGGGGACACTCCATCGCAGTTCCTCTCTGGCACTTGAAGCCTCTGAAAGTTTCTGCTGTCCTTCTTCAACCTGGCAATGGACAAGGATCTTTAGAGGAGTCTCGGAGTTCTATATTGCGGAAACATTGAAACTGATTCTTTTGGGCTTGGACGTTCTCCCACCTCAGTTTCTT